TACGAAGGGGTGAAACAAGCAATACTCTAATGGCTGGAGATTAGCCCAGACTATTACCGACACCTGTTCAGGGCTAAGAAAGGGCCCGACGAGAAGCGTCCCCGGGTGCTACTACAGCTGCTGCGGGACCTGCTCGACAAATGGGTGAGCCCGGTGGGGTCCGACCGCGAGGACCTGGTGGATCAGGTCATTTTGGAGCAGTTCCAGATTGACCTGGATGAGAGGACGCAACGCTGGGTGCGACAACACGCCCCTCGGAATTGTGAGGAAGCGTTAAAACTGGCAGAAGCCTACACGGCGGCAGAGGCGAGTTATCCAAAGGAAAGAAGAATCCCGAGGTCAGCGTCACTGCCCCCGAAAGAAGCTGAACGGCGGCGGGCCCCTATCCGGGGGGTCAGTAGAGATGTAGTGTGTTTCCGCTGTGGGCAGAGGGGACACCTCTCGCGAGAATGCCCCATGCAACCCGCTGCGCAGTGTGTCCCAGCTACCCAATCCAGAGGCTTCCCTGACTGGCGCCGCAGTGCGGAGGTGGGGGAACGTATGGACTGCAGCTACGCCAGCTGTGAGGGAAACGCAACGTGGAGCCGCTCAACCATCAAAGCCCGGGTGGCTGGCTGGCCTGTACGGGCCACTCTTGACTCCGGGTGCACCCAATCTATGGTAAGAGCCGACATAGTCCGACGGCAAGACGGCAGGGAGGCCCCACCAGTGATGGTGACCTGCCTCCATGGTGAGGCCGAACGCGTACAGCGACAAGGGATACAGCTGCGCGTCATGGAGCACCAAGGGGAACTACTCGTAGGAGTGGCACCGAAGATGGCATGTGAGATGCTACTAGGACGGGATTGGACACCCCTCTACGATGTGCTAGAACGAGTGAGAGATGTAGAACTCGCCCAAAAAAAATGGGAGCCAGTGAAGGGTGGCTTGGCGAGGAAGAAGCGGACCCGACTGATGTTGAGGGGCACATGAACTTCGACCCAAGCCATATCACCAGTAGCCAACAGTTCCGGGAGGCGCAGAATGAGGACCCAGAGCTCGAGACCCTCTGGAGACGATCCCACGAGGGCCGGGATGAGGCCGCGTCACCCGGAAGAGAGCAACCCCAGTTCGAGGTAAGGAATCACCTCCTCTATCGCGTGCCAGGGCCCAGGCGGGAGGGCCCCGCAGAAGCGCAGCTAGTGGTCCCGAGACAGCTCCGCCAGGCGGTTTGGCAACTCGCCCATGCGAGCCCAGTGGGAGGCCATTTGGGGCGAGATAAGACCCTGGCCAAGGTAGGGCGATGGTTCTTTTGGCCCGGGATGGGAGAGGAGGTGGCCCGCCAGTGTGCAGCCTGCCCAGAGTGCCAGAAGACCCGGACTTAGCGCCCTTTACAGCCAATGCCGGTCATAGACACCCCCTTCGCGAGGGTAGCCCTGGACATTGTGGGGCCCTTACCCCGTAGCAGTTCCGGCCACTAGTATATTCTAGTCATGGTGGACTAAGCGACACGGTACCCGGAGGCCATCCCGTTGTGGACCGCAATGGCCCCCCGGGTGGCGGAAGAATTGATAAAGTGGGTCACGAGAATGGGGGTCCCTAAAGAAATCCTGACCGACCAGGGCAGGAATTTCATGTCCGGCGTCATGAAGGTGGTGTGTCAGACCCTGAAAATACGGCAGATACGGACCTCAGTGTACCACCCCCAAACCAACAGGCTGGTGGAACGCCTTAATGGCACCCTAAAGAGGGTATTGAAATGGTGTATCCAAGAAGATCCTCGGAAGTGGGATTTACTGTTGCCGTTAGTCCTATTCTCGCTCAGAGATACCCCCCCAGGACTCCATGAAATTTTCCCCGTTCGAGCTAGTCCTCAGGCATCGCCCGAGGGGATGGCTGCAGGTCTTCCAAGAAGAGTGGGGGAGGGATGCCGGGGGCCTGCAGGACCCAGCAGGGTATCGCCAGGCTTTCCAACAGAGGATACGAA